TGCAAATAGATGTGATTACAGAATCTCAAAGTTGAAAGGAATCTTAAAGACACACAATGCATTAGAGCAGAAGAAATTTAGAGATCATCTAGTTCAGCTCTCCCACATTTTAGGTCCAAAGATAAAGACATTTCTCAGTCACAGGCAAAATAATACCAGGATGAGGATGTAGGATGATGACTGGGTAGGTCATTTGTCTTAGTCTAAGTCCTCCGTTCTAGTCCAGAGGTGGAACTGTTGGAAATTCTTCCTAGCTCTAAAATAAAATACATAGATGAGTCTCAGCATCATTTCTTGCTTTGTGCTGTTACATAGGCTGATATGGTTTGGCTCTATGTCCCCACCCAAATCTCATCTTGTAGCTTCCATAATTCCCACATGTTGTGGGAGGAACCCAGGGGGAGATGACTGAATCATGGCAGCAGGTCTGCCCCATGCTGTTCTCGTGATAGTGAATGGGCCTCACAATATTGAATGGTTTTAAACAGGAGAGTTTCTCTGTACAAGCTCTCATTTTTGCCTGCTGCCATCCATGTAAGACAAGGCCTGCTCCTCCTTGCCTTCCATCATGATTGTCAGGCCTCCCCATCCATGTGGAACTGTAAGTCCAATGAACCTCTTTCTTTTGCAAATGGCCCGGTCTTGGGTATGTCTTTATCAGCAGCATGAAAACAGACTAACACATAGGCCATGCTATATAACTCTATGAGCCTCGGTTTCCTTAAAAAAAACACACGGGATTATTGTGAAGATTGAATGAGATGATATATTTAAGACATTCTGCACAAATAACGATGGAGACTAGTAAATTTGGCTGTTAAATTTTGACGATCATCATTTAACAGACAAATACATTGAAGGAGTTGTTGGCAGAAGACAGAATCAGTGTTTATTAAATGCTTTCTATGAATAAGGTTTTGAAATAAATAGGGACTTAAGCTTCTAAGGAGGCATCAGTGTTCCTATTTCCTAGCTGTGGAGCCAAAAGATCATCCCTACAGAATAACTTGCCTCAGATTTCAGTCAGACTCTTGAGATCCACACTACCACAGCTGCCAGAGATAGTTAGAATGAAGGTGGACTAAAGGGATGTCTCCTAACAACCCTATCTCTGTAAATCATGCATTCTCAGTTTCTAAATGAATAAATAAAAATAACAAAAAACGAAGCATCAAATGAGTGGCTAACCTGAATTCATCCCTCAGAATATCACATGCCAAATGTTCTGTAACCTTCCTGTTCTTCAGTGTTTCATTATTTTTTCTATACAGAACCATTTCCAAAATGGGCAAAGAGCACAGTAGGTGGCTCTCTTTAATATTTCATGGGCAAGGCAACAGTGACTCACCAGATCCTACATCTGTGTCACCAGCAAAAGCCTAATGAAGTTGAGCAACAAATGAAGCTGTGTATAGGCTGGAGATAATCTTAGTTTTTTTTTTTTCTACTTCCTCTGATATCGTCTAGCCACATTCTGCTTTCCTAACTGTGCCAGGTAAGATGATACTAACTACTTACCTTTGGGCAAAAGCAAACATATGCTCCAAAATCCCAAAAGCAAGGAGCAAAACATTTCTTCTACAACTGCATTTGCAAGCCTGTGTGCTTGCTACAATTAAAAGGGATCTAATGGCCTATGAGGAGCCTCCATAGATGAATAGCCCCACTGCGTGGACCAGAAACAGATCCTTTCATCTTCCTACATAGGCCTGCAACCATCACTTTCCGCAAGGACTGAAACTCCAGACAAGTGATCAGCACCAGCATTAAGCAGTGGTCTCTTTCTGCAAATGCCTCCTTTGCACACTGTTCTGTCTACCTTAGTACTCACAAAATTGTCCAAGAAAGTTGAATAATGCGATGGACATGCATGACATTTGTTGCTCAAGCTTCTTCCCAGCCTTTGAACTATCATGAGGATGGCAGAGGGAAGAAACCACTCACAACAGGAAGAAAAGAGTGACATAACTCTGTACTTTATATCTTCTTAGTTAGTACCCTTTCTCTTAGGAATCAAAGCTGTATATATCAAACACAGGAGAGTAGGAAGGTTTTCTTAGAGACCATTGCTTTCAATTCCCTCTTGTGGCAGTTGGCCCCACTAAACTCTACAGAACTGTGCTTAAGGATTGTTCCCTCAGCAAGGAAATGCCCACTTTTCAACAAAAAGGATATCCTGAAGTAACCAACCAAAAAGTCCAACCTAATAACTGAAGTAAATTGTTAAATATCTCATTGGCAAGGAAACAGAGTGTGACCAGAAATGCCCTAAACTAGACATGAAAAGGTGTGAACTGTATTCCCAGAGTTGAAATATACTAACATGTGACCTCTAGCAACTTTTCATTTAGCTGAGTCTCATTCCAGTTATGTTCTCAATAAGTTGAGATTAGCTAAGAAGAGTTATCATTTAATGAGCACCTATACACTACCTGTACTTGACATTATTCTACTGAATTTATTCTTTATACAGATTTTTAAGATAAGCATTTTTTTTTATTTTAGAACTGGATAAAACAGAAACTTTAAATGATGGAATAAATTGCTGAATATTACCCAACTACTCAGGCATGATAACTGGAATTTGAAATCAAGTAGGTCTGACCACAAAACATGGACTCCTTCCTCTATCAATTTTCCTGTCATGTCCTTCCAGAGCTATTGTGAATAACAAGGAATAAACTAAAATGCACTTTGGAAATTCTAAACTTCTACACATATATATGGTTTTAGTAACAGTAACAATCTGTGTAAAAATAAAAGGTATAATTGACTGATCTTTCTTTGAAGAACCAGAACAAGGGAATTAAGCTTTAATCTCTCTTCCACCCTCATGATCTGACCTTATTTTGAACATTTTCCTTTTCTGCCACATGGCCCCTGTCTCTCAGGCACACATTCAGATGTATCCCAGCCAGCTCATCATAATGCATGTACACGGAACAAGTCGATGGAAGCAGGTGATCCCATCCTTTACAAATGCTTGGTGCAGGAGGTACCTAAGTGGGCACCACTGGGCTCTTATCCTCCATCAAGATATATCACACCCTGCTCTCAAGCACTTATCAATACTACATACAAATGCTATGGTCTGTGAAGGAGGCAGCCAAATACAAATGCTGGACACTCAATTTAAGGACTTATGGCAAAACCAGTAGATAGCAGTAAATAATTGTATGAAGTGCATCAGAATAAAATCAATTGTCATAATTAAGGTATGAGTATAGGAGGGAATCCATTTAATTTTAATTTTAAAATACCAATAATACAGGAAGACATGTGAATATCTGTGTGTTCATGTTTAAATAAGACAAGTTTGTGTCCAGAAGGGTCTGAATTTAGCAGCATCTCTGTACAATCCAAAAGAAATATATAAGAATGTTGTTGTTTTCTGATACTAGATGAAAAAATGTAAGGTTGTTTGACTGACCTAAGAAAGCAGGGATAGAGGGCTTAGAACAATCTGTAACATAGCTGCAACTTCCAACTTTCTCCTCTTGTCTTTCTGCCTCTTATCCATTTCAAGACCCCCTTTGTCAATAAAGGACGTCTTAGATCAGGGCAGTTCACAGGCCTGAGGTTTGACCTAAAAACTAGTAGGAAATTCACATCACTGAGAAACATCAATTTTACATTTCGAGCTAAGCATCCATGATCCAAATCACACATGGACAACATTTAGAAAATTCTTATTATACAAGAGCTGCTCAAACTCAAAAGAAGAAAATCACCACATTTACAGATTTTTTTTTTTAAATGTCTCTCTAAGGTAGTATGAAATCACCTTTCTGAAAACCCACTGTCTGCAAGGTTACTATGTGACAATATTTACAATAGTTGCTATGAGTTTTGAACCAACCAGGTGCCAGGCCAGGCACTGTGCTAAACAAGCTAGTTGAATGGTCCCATTTCATCCTCCCAACTACCCAAAGGGCTCATTGTGACCATTATAAATCTCCATTTCGCGGCTGGAATTTAAAAAAAAAGAAAAAAGAAAACAAAAACCCAGTATCAGAAAGGCGGGATAACTTGCCCAAGTTGACACAGCTAACACATGACAGAGCTGGAGTCAAAACCCCAGGTAAGTCCTCTTTCTCATCCAGTCGCTAAACCAGGGATCTGTACAGCAGAGCAGCAAAATGCTTCGCGTGGCGCCCTGGTTCGCAATTTCACAACCAGAAGGTGGAGGGAAGACAGGCTGGGACTAGCTCTTAAAGGAAACAGCAGAAGTTTGCTTTTATGTTTGTGATTTTTTTTTTCTTTAACTCAGCTTCCTTGCCCCCTTCCCAGTATTTAGAAGAGGGAAGGGGCTCTAGTCAGCTCTTCCCGAATGAAGAGACCCTGCCTCCCACAGGGCCACTAGCTCTGCTTCCTCCGGGGCTGGGAAGAAACAGTACCACAGGAGGTCACTGGCGCCCCGGCCTCCCTCCCCTGTCCCCTTGCTCCTCCAGAGCTGGTCTGACACCTGGGCAGGGGCATCTTTCTGAGAAAGCAGGTCAGGGGAAGAGGGAGTGAAGCGGCAAGCAGCATTTTCCCAGGCTGTCACAGCTCTGGGCTGACAGCGGCGTGATACCTAGTGGGCATGCTGGGACACACTGCTTCCTTCTATCCCCAGCGCTTACAGCAGCGTCTGGAGAAACCAAGGCGGAGATGGGGGTGGGGGTGGGGGAGTGGTAGCAAGGAGGGGGCGGTGAAGTGAAAAGGAAAACAGGGGTATATCCCTCAGAGGGCTGAGCATGGGGGCAGCAACTAGCGGACGTCCCACAGCTGCGTTACTTAAAGCCCTGCAAAGCAAAGATGGGTCTCTGAACGTTTGGGTTCGAATCCAGGCTCCAGTCCCAACTAGCAGTGCGACCTATCCCAGCCGCTGCCTCGTTCTGTGCCTCAGTGTTCCCTTGTGTAAAGTAGGAGGGTTTCACGATACGATCTCTAAGAACCCATCCACCCCGAGATTCTGCGGCTCGGTGACTTCTGCGCCCTGACGGCGGCGCGAGACTCACCTTTCCTGGGAGGCTGAGCGGGCGCAGCGCAGGCAGCGGGGCTGGGCGCAGTGTCGCCGGGCGCCGCTTCTTTCCGCGCCTCCGGCCGGAGCGGACCCCGGAGACCTGGATCCCGGCGGTCTTCCCCAGTGAGCCTCTTACTTTCCGCCGCACTTTCTTTTCCCCCTTTGGGGCTCCTCCCCCGGAGCAGCGCGATTGGCCACGGCGGCGCGGCTCAGGCTCCACCCGCCGCCCGGGCTCACGATCCCCGCCCAGCGCCCTGGGCTTCCCGGAGCTGCGGCCGCGGGGCGGCGCCCCGCACAGTCCCGCCCGCCGCGAGGAGGAGCGGCGCGGGGCCCGCCTGGGGACGGACGCCAGGCTGCGCTCGGCTCCTCCGGCTCCTGCCGCCGCGGACGCGGGCCTGAGCGCGCTGGGGAAGGAAAGGGTCGGTCCTGCGGCGCAGCTGGGCACGCCGCCAGGCGCCGTGGGAAGCGGGGCCCTCCCCACACACACAGGCGCATGCTTGCGCTCAGGCAAGCTCGTGCCCTCTCCGTGGAGACCCGTGCCACCCTGCCCTTTCTTCCTGTCTCGACGTATGTAGCACTCATGCTGCAAGGCCTGAAATCCATTCAGACTACACGATTTTCGCCACCACCGTGCGCCGACACAGAGCGCGACAGGATGTGGATGCCATCGCCGCAGTCCTGCGCTCTTGCCGTCTTGAACTGACAGTCCTAAGAGCAAGCAACAGGACATGAAAGCCAGACGGAATCGACATTGTCCACGGGTGATATACCCAGTGCCCAGCACAGTGCCTGGCACAAAGTAGGCGCTCAATACATGTATGGTGAATAAATAAAATAACTAATAGGTTATATGGAAAGAAATGATCTCAAAACAAGTATTTCCCTTTCATTCATTTCCATTTCCCCAAGTTTTCGCAAGAGCCTTCCTTCGGCTGCCTTCTGCCACTCTAGATGGTAGTCTGGAATATCACCCCGAGAAGCGTTGTAAAGGCTTTCATTAAGGCATCTCTCTTGTTCAGGCACCTTCTGCTGTGTTCCTGCTGCTAATCTGTCATGATTTTTCCTGACTGGCGAGGCCCTTCATGTCTAGTCCCCATTTCTGAAACTCCCTAACCAACATGGACGACTCTTCGAACATACCTCGCTTGTCACATCTGTTTTTCTCCCCTTCCTACTGTTACCTAACTGAATCTCACTGATTTAGTTATTCAAGAATCAAGATTTAGAGAAAGCATTTAAGGAAAAGAAAAAAAAAAAAAAAAAANAAAAAAAAAAAAAAAAAAAAAAAGACGTGAAAGAAGAAAAGGGCCCTGGTGAGTGGGAAGGAAAGGTAACCAGCAAATACCCGTCCTGCTATAGACGCACAGCAGTACAAAACTCAGAAACTGCCCCTGCCCTGGCAGAGCTTCAGTTCCCAAGGCGAAATACCAGTGTAATTAGGAGCCATAGAAATGTTCATGATATGGGCCGGGCGCAGCGGCTCACACCTGTAATCCCAGCACTTTGGGAGGCCGAGGCGGGTGGATCATGAGGTCATGAGATCGACACCACTCTGGCTAACACAGTGAAACCCTGTCTCTACTAAAAATACAAAAAATTAGCCGGGCGTGGTGGCAGGCCTCTGTAGTCCCAGCTACTTGGGAGGCTGAGGCAGGAGAATCGCTTGAATGCAGGAGGCCGAGGTTGCAGTTGGCCGAGATTGCAGCTCCTGCGCTCCAGCCTGGGTGAACTAGAAAAAAAAAATGTTCATGATACATCGCTTCTTAATATTGCTTATGAAAATTAATTGCTCAAAATTATTATTTATCTCTGGATACCTGGCACCAGCACCTGCTCACAACGTTGTTACCGAACCAAAGAGGAAATAATCCAAAAGAATTTAAAATGTTACCTGTACGAAGCAAAAAATAAAACGTTTTGCGATTTATTATTCATTCATTAAATATACTCTGGTCACTGACTTTTTTATAAATATAGTACACTGAAGCATTTACACAGTGCTTACAAAATGAAAAGGCACAATCATAAGGACTTTGGATATATTAACTCATATAACCCTCAATACAACCTAGAGGGTGCTATTGTTACCTCCAGTTTATAAAGGAGATAAAAGGAATTTAAATAACTTGACTAAGGCTACAAGCCTACAAGTGGAGAATGCAAAATGAGACTAGAGACACTCGACGTTCATGCTCTTAGCCGCTACACAGTCTCATGTACTACCTAGAAACCAAACATGCTAGTAATTCAGAATCCAACCAGATGTAGTCCTGGACATTGAAGGGGTACTCATAGCTCAATGAAAATAACATTAAGATGAATAATCATATAGACAAATATTCATAGTATATTGTGGTTTGAAGATCATATAAATTGTTGGAAATGAAAATGATTAGTTAACCAATGCTATCTACTCATACAATAAAATTGTTGCTGTCATAATTATCATATTATAAAAATATGACTACAAAGGAGGCTTACAAAATAGTAAGGTTGAGTAAAGGTTGTGGAGGGATGAACAGCCATTGAAGGGAATGTGAAAAATGGTGATGTGCTAGGATTATGGAAATATAAACATGCCTTTTTCCTTTTACATTTGTTTTCAGTGAAATAAACCAAGCACAGAAAGACAAATATTGCATGTTCTCACTCACATGTGGGAGCTAAAAATTAAAACAATTGAACTGAGAGGTAGAGAGTAGAATGATGGTTACCAGAGGCTGGGAAGAGCAGCGGAGAAGGGGGATTGTGGAGAAGGGGGGATGGTTAATGGTTGCAAAATTATAATTAGCTGGAATGAATAATTAGCATTGGATAGCACAACAGAGTGACTACAGTCGACAATAATTAATTATGTATTTCAAAATAAGTAAAAAGTGAAACAGAAATATTCCTCAAAGAAATGACAAATGATTGAGGTGATGGATACTCTGTTAATCATTACCCTGATGTGATATTACACATTGTATGCATGTTCTAAAACATCACACGTCACACATGCATATGTACACCTATTATGTAGTCATAGTAATTAAAAATGAAAAAAAAAGTTATTCTAACAATTAAGAAAAATTTTGTTTGTTTTGTTTTGTTTTGTTTTTTCTTTTTTTATTGCATTTTAGGTTTTGGGGTACATGTGCAAGATTGTTGCATAGGTACATACATGGCAGTGTGATTTGCTGCCTTCCTCCCCTTCACCTGTATCTGGCATTTCTCCCCATGCTATCTCTCCCCAACTCCCCACCCCCCGCTGTACCTCCCTTATTTCCCCCCAACAGATCCCAGTGTGTAGTGCTTCCCTCCCTGTGTCCATGTGTTCTCATTGTTCAACACCCGCCTATGAGTGAGAACATGCGGTGTTTGATTTTCTGCTCTTGTGTCAGTTTGCTGAGAATGATGGTTTCCAGGTTCATCCATGTCCCTGCAAAGGACATCTTAAAGTCCTAGCCATTAAATATTCATCACATACTAAACCTGTGATGAATAATAGTTGCCTACACAAATAAATGAAGCTACAAATTCATTGATGTTAGTGACTAATTGTGCTGGATGTGTAGAAGATGCATAATAAAATATTTTGCAATTGATTGAAGTATTTGGAAAGGTGTTATTCTCTTCTTCTCCCTGCTTTTACCCTCCACCTTTTTTTTTAGGTTATCTTTAATCATCTTACTATAGCTAGAAGGGGCATCAGGATTTTGTGGTTCCCTTGAACCCTATCCATTCACACTTTTGTCTCTATCACTCCATAGTCAGCATCTACAATAATCTTCACTTTGCCAAATGTAGTGGTCAGTTCCCTGCCTTCACTGTACGTGTATCAGCAGCATTAGGCACAGTTAATGTGTTGCTCTTTCACACTCACTCATAGTGGATTTTATCTGCTGTTCCTTATCAGATTCTTATTGAATCCTCTACCCCTTCATGATCTCCGAAGGTTACAATGTCTTGGAGCTCAATCCTTGGAGTGTTTATATTCTTAACCTAGGGAACTCAGGCAGACACACAGCTTTCTAAACTATCAATATGATAATAACTTGCAAATATAAATCTGCAGCCCAAACCACAACCTCTGTATGCCATACTGCCTCCTTTATATCTCCTTCTTTGATGTTTTAAATACATCTCAAACTTCACAGGTTCAAAATCAAACTCTATTTCTACCTCACACCACACCAGAGCTTTGTAAGAAATCCCATCTTTAACCCATTTGCTCAGTTCAAAAATTTGGAGTTATGACTCTCTCTCATTGCCTTATGTTTTTTTTTTTTTTTTTGAGACAGAGTCTCACTCTGTCACCAGGCGCCAGGCTGGAGTGCAGTGGCACGACCTCGGCTCACTGCAACCTCCGCCTCCCGGGTTCAAGCAATTCTCCTGCCTCAGCCTCCCGAGTAGCTGAGACCACAGGCGCACGCTACCACGCCCAGCTAATTTTTTTGTATTTTTAGTAGAGACGGGGTTTCACCATGTTGGCCAGGATGGTCTCGATCTCTTGACCTCGTGATCCGCCCGCCTCGGCCTCCCAAAGTGCTGGGATTACAGGCGTGAGCCACCGCGCCCGGCCTCTCATTGCCTTATGTAAACTATATACACAAACCTGCCACTTCCGCTGCATTCAAAACACATCTCAAATCCAACCACACTATTCCCCTTCTTCATCACAACCACCATAGTTCAAGTCATTGTCATCGCTCCCTTCACTGGTATCCCTGCCTAAACTCTTACCCAAGGAGTCTATTCCCCTTGCTTCAGAGACCCTGTAATGAAAATAGAATCATTATAGACTAGTGATTAAGGTCAAGCAATCTGAAGCCAGACTACCTGTGTTCAAGTTAACATAATATGATCATTACTTAATTTTTTTTCACTGTTTCATTCTCTGAAAAATAGGAATAATAATGACAATAATATACCTTATAGTGTTGTTTTTAAATTAAATTAGATTACATAAGTAAAATACTTGGAACGGGGATTGGCACATACAAATGCAATATAAATATTCATTATTATTTTATAAGAAATATGTCGTGCTCTGCTTTCAAATACTCAGTGATTTCTCATCATGATTAGATACATTCCCATAGGCCTTATAGCCTAAAAGTCCTTCCCTGGCCCTGCATGATACAGCACTGAGTTGCTTCTTTAAATCTCCCATAGCACACTCCTTGCGTTTGACCAAGCACACTAACATGTTCCCATACCAGCGT